CTAAAACAAAGCAATTCATGCAGTACAACATTTTATTCAATATTTTACACCTACTGCATCACTAAAGTCAGTCGGTGTTGTAAAATTTTTTAGCAACCATGTCTCTGTCCTGACTGGTGCAACCAATATAACCCCTGTATAAAGACGTTTGATATTAAGCAGACAGTGCCCATACTCTGGACTGCTCTAGTAACTCATGGGAGGGCCTGCTTACTCCTGCTATCCTGAGCCATGGTATGGGCCTGCCTCCATTAAAGCTGACCTCCTGTCCAGGCCCCCCTTGGGGCCTGGGCTGGAGGCCTGCCGCCCCCCCTGAAGCCCCACCCCTGGGTTTAGGGTATGGCTGTCACTGACTTTTTTGTTCATCCTGACCTCCTCCATATACCTACCAAATTATTTAGGTCTAGGTCAAACGTGCTTTCGATGGGACTCTTGAAATTGTCTAGGTGGCGCTGTGGAGCCATTTTTCTATTGAGGTGTGTATTTCCCTCTAATTATAAAATTTTTCGCAGAGTCTGATGTGTGTGCCAAGTTTTGTGAGTTTTCGACTACATTTAGGACCTGAAAAACGTCTTTGTGATGAAGAAATACTGACATAACAGTTCCAACCCTAAGATTCTGAACTACAAAATAATCCACAAAGAGGTCAGTTTGACTGAATCTATCTCAGAAATCTGAGATGAAAGCATGACATGGTTTTAATTTGCGACAGCTCACGTGGGTACATTTCACCAACTGTTTTATTCTCGTCGTCTGGTCACGTGCTTTTCACCCTTGACTACGTCTCTGTGCTAAAGCAGTTCATTGAAAAGTGGAAGCGCTGCCACAGTGATGACTCTGCAGCACACTTAAGATTGTAGTATTGATCTAAGAAGTTAAAGAGCAGGCCTTATGTCCTGACTTGACAGTTTAAGCACGCAGCCTACTTTATTTTTTCAATTTGTGAGCTTGTAACAACGCCAATTCATTCTCTAAACCCTTCCATGATATGATAAAAATCTGTCCGCAAATTACATTAGAACTACATTAGGGATGTACTATCCTGGAGCCCTAGCACACTCCAAAGGGTACGTCATTAGTGGGATCAAAGGAGACAGGCTGGTGCAGGAGGAAACAGAAGAAGCATTAGGAAGGGAAAAACAGAAGAGAGGAAAAGTTCCAGTTTTGGAAGCTTGATTTGTGCTGAGAGTAACATTAATACAAATAGGCTTTATCATCTCTTTGGTTTAATTTGGGTTCTTCCCACAATAGCTCAGTGTGATTCCCTCTGTGTTCAGCCCTGCTTTGAACAGCTGAAATTATTTGTTAAGCCATACTCTACACTGCAATGCAAGGCTGAAGTCATTGTTTTGTCTGACAGGCTGCTTTGCTTGTTCTCGGTAACAACCTCTCCTCCTCCTGTCTGCAGCAGGAGCCCTGTGTAATTACATCCAAAGCGTTCCTTTCTCCCCTACGCTTGATATCACTGCTGACATCCACTAGCACAGCCCCTCCTTTCTCTCTCTCTCTCACTCTCTCTGCTTTCCTGCTTTTGGAGAGCTCTCACTCTCTGGCAGTCCTGCCTTCGTCTTCGTTCATGTGTGTAGCGCAGCGAAGCAGATGGAGAAGGAAAGCAAGAGAGGCAGACAGAGATGAGAGAAGAGGAATGAGCCTGGTAGTCAGCTGCAGAGGGAACAGTTTAAATGAGTGAACAGAAACGGAGAACGCATGATGACTGAATCATACAGTGGGATATTTATTGGAGGAATAAACTGCTGGCAGAGTGTGTCAGGTAAGTGTGCAACTAGTATAAACGTAAGACTTTGCTCTGGCATCTAACAGCACAGTGTGATAAAACAAAGTCAGAAGTCTTAACATCCCAGCGGTATGAAGTTGTTGCCAGAATGATGCTTTTCTACAGGACTGGAGGAAACCTGTGCTTCTTAAAATGTGACTTTATCAGGCAGTGAGTTAAGAGAGAGATCTTTATATGCTGCATCCTCCTTAATCACCCAGGAGTGAAAAAAAACCAGAGGTGTCTGTCCACCTGAGGGTTGAAGGCTGCACCAAAGCCAGATGAAATGCTCTGTGACTTTATCAGATCCACCTGTCATACTGTGTGCGCAGCCAGATCTTCCCATTACAGCTGTAGGAATATGAAATTCACTGAGGCAGGAGGATCTGATTCAAAGGTGAAACTGACTGATAAAGGTTGATTCTAGGTCCGTGTGTTATTGTGCTGTCATTTACATGCAGATATTGGAATGTGTGTGTGTGTGTTTTTTCTTTCAAGCTTTTAAGCTCACAGGATTTCAAAACAGTACAGAAGTAAAGCGTTTGTTTGTGTGTGTGCTCCAGTCAGGGAAAGAGGCAAAGATCAACTGATTTAACAAAGTCAAGTGAATAATTCACTTGGGGCTACATCCCTGTGATTCACAAGGCTTGCAGAGGTGATTTTCTCACGGGAAGTGACTGGTCTCATGCTGTTTAGCACTTACTTGAGAATGCAGAGCAAAGATCAGAGAAACAGATGAATATTTATGCTCGCCGTTGCTTGACCAGCGTGAGCAACACGTTGCCTTTTTATGGCATTAACACTGATAGTAAACTAAATTAAATAGCAGTTGTTTAAATGATTAATGTCTTCGTATTAAGATGAGTTCAACTTCTACTGTAAATGGCCATTTTTTCCTCCTAAATATATCTTGTTTGGATGATTTTACGGATTCAGCATGATGATAATGAATAGGCACTCTCCAGGAAAACACTACTCACTCTCTGCAACATGAGTTCATCAATAATTCACAGTAAGTGCTATTCCTATGCAAATTTATTGATATGCAAATTTCCCAAATGGGAAAATAATGGGAGTGAATTTTCAGTCTAGTTCTTGATATTGTGCATCTGCATACGCATATAGCCTGTCTGCGCTACAGATGTTAATTTGAAGGAGTATGAAGAAGAATGAGCACATACAGTATGCACAAACATGTGAACAAGTGTATGCACAACAAAAGTCTCGCAGCATGTGATGTGACATAGAATGTCAACCCAAGTGCATCGTGCAAGGTAATATTTACACTCATGATGCGCAGCATGCTTGCAGCACAGCAGTGGTGCGCTGAGAGCAATTTAAAGGAAACCATTATCAGCGGTTGTGTCAGGAAATGGTTTGGGCCTTGTAATACTCATGAAAATGATAATATAGCATCAAAAGCAGCACACACTGACAGTTGCGGGAATGAAGAGTCCAGACCAGCATCTTTTAAAAGGAAAGCGCATTCTTATGTGTCAGAGCTGTACATGTGAAAACACAGCGGCCCATGAATAGTGAGTGCAGCAGCCCAACAGCAATTGTGTAAAATTTAACAAAGCTACCCACAGTGGATCTGGAGTGCATAATTGTGTATTGAAAACTCACATTACTCTTAATACAAATTACAAGTGGAGCATACAGTTTGCTGCCTCTGGCCGGCTGAACAGGCACTCAGCTGGACAGGAGGGCATGGGTGAGAAATTAAAGGAAAAAAACAACAACATTGAGTGTCTAAGTGATGTACTAGGCCACAATGTGTCACTAGATCAGCCTTACTGTGCCTTTGCACGACTTCTCTAAGTCTCTGAAACCCTTTACTGGAGGCAGAAAAGGCATTCTTTTAAAGATATTGCCTCTTTCAATGTTTTGATGATGACGGTTGAAAGTGCACACACTTGCCTGCTCTACGTGACTAGTAATGTAACGGTGCCAATTGTGTGCCAACATTATGCTTCAAGTAGAGGGAAAGAACTCATGAGTAAAGTTACATGATGACTGGTTCATGCCAGCAAAATGTGAGGAAATCATTTTTTCCTGTGTGGAAAAGGATAATCGATATGACTGGTGATAGGCAAGCCAAACAAATATTGTTCTAATGTTGTACATATAGGTTTGAATACGAGTTCTTAGAGGACTGATACTGTAACTTTGAGGGAGAAGGTGTCAAATGAAATAAAGCCAAAGCTGTGTACTCACTGTAATATTAAATATGATTATTTTACTAAAAACCCTGTATGTCCATATTTATTTAAAACGTTTTTATTTGTCCCCAAATATTAGCTCGTATCGTGCCACGAAAGGCATTGGTATGTCTGGTTTTCCTGTTCTTTCTTCTTCTTCTTCTGGAACGACTTTTTGAATGTGACCAGCCTTGATATATAATTCTCAGAGGACATAGCACAGAAAATGAAAATGACACACTCATAGACCTGCACCAAACTTGCATTCTTCCTAACAGTCAGCAGGGGGCAACTCTTCTGGTTGCAAAAGTAGTCCAATTGTTTAGTAGTCCATGAGAAAATGACTTCACTTCTCACCTACTTTGCTACCTCAGTAAACGTTTTCCTAATGAGGTTATGGTCTTAGTTGCTACTTTGATACTGGAACTGTGACAGCATGATGTTCATTTTGTAAAATATGATTCCATTAATAGACAATAAAGCTGGGTATGTTTTAAGCGAGACAACCCTGTGATTGATAAGTCACTACCACATACTGTGTGCAGTGTCCTCAAGTTCTCAGTCAGATCCATCCCTCGCTTGTTCTGTCTAGTTTGGAAAGAGCAAGACGACAATAAGCAAAGTCCAAGCTTGAGGCTTCAAAACTGTAGTCCACAAACCAGCAGGTGAAATCACAGTTCCTACGTCCATCTTTTGTCTTTAGTCTTGTACAAATCAAAGGCAGGAGTCCTATTGCACCCCCTGCTGGCCCACATGTGCAAGTGCATAGAGTTGTAATCACGAATGCAGAGTAGCAATGGCATTTTTAAGTGGTATCTGGCATTTGAAAGATGTTATTAATATATAAACACATAGAATAAATCAAGTACAAAACACAGAACAGCAAGGAAAAAAAAAACAATTTATGACACAGCTGAAAAGATTGACATGTTACACAGCTTGTTCCTTCATCGCATTTCATACTCTGCTTGTGTTCAATTATATCTAATTGTTCTATTTGTTTTTTTTTTTTTTACAGACACCGGCAGGCATTTCCTGAAATAGCAAGCAGCATTTTGATACTGCAGACTATTGTGAAATCATCACTAGCAGAGAGTGCTGCGAGGCTCATCTGTATGGTGGAGTGTCGGTGTGTCACCCTAAAGAAGCTATCAAGACAAACAGAGCCTTGAGGAGAACACATTCATCTCTGCAGTGAGACGTACAGGCACTCTGCTTTCTGCTGCTGTCTTATCTAAATATTTGGCAATACACGAACTGCGTTTTTTCACCTCACAACAGCCCATCTGTGGACATGAGGAATCATGAGCCTATAGATTCAAGCATCTACACGTAAGTTAAACGAAGATGTTGGTGATGCTCAGACTCATTTGCCTATTAACAAAAGGAACATAATGGAACCAACTTAAAGAGCAACATTTAAGTTGGCTGACATCGGGCTCTGCAGTCCAGTCGTTACTATGGAATCTGAAGAAAGCACAACAGGACTGTCCACGGCTGCACTGGTGGCCATCGCTTGCAATACATTTGTTGCCATCCTTCTTCTTCTCCTCTGTCTGATCATCTACCGAGCCTGCAGGGTCCCGTCTAGCCCAGAGAGGCTACCAGTGCTGGCCCCACGTGAAGCACAAACCCAGCAGATGAACGAGCACAAGCACCTGTTGACCTCTTGACTGCACAAAGACGAGTCAAATGTAGCAACAAGTGATGGCCTTGGTGCACTGATCCACAGGAGAGGAACATGTTGGACTGACTGGAAGCAATAATACTAATTAGACTTGTCCTTCCCTAGTTTTTAAGGTCAGCAGCAGATCTAATGTCAGATGCGGCTGTGCCTCACAAAGACGTAGCAAGGATGAATTGTGGTGGAGTGAGGAAACTATTTTTAAGCAGCCATCACTTGTCAAATCTGGTTCTTGGTTTGACAAAGGACATGGAGGAATGCCAATGAGAATGCATGTTTAACACACACACACACCAACAGCCTCAAGAAGAGGACACGGCCACAAGGATGGATGCAGGTTGCACAGACCCTGAGAAAAAGGAATGTTAAGTACACAAAGACAACTGGTCTGTTGTTGAAGGTTTCTAAATATATCCTCTTATTTCATACAGCGGCCTGAAAAAAGAGAAAGCCAGTCTATTACTGAGAACAGGGACTTGAGCCTGTGTGGTGTGTGTGTCATTGTCACTCATAAACATCAGTGAATTGTGAGGCAGAGCGCCTTGCTAAGGGTGTTATATAAGGACTAGAGAGGCTTAGTAGAAATTTGTGGCCTCTTCAACACGGCCCTCACACTGACATCTGCTTGGGGCTGTATATGACGGGCCACTGGCTCTGGACTGAATCACAGGATGCTCACATAGAGAGGGATTAATCCTATAGTACCCCACAGATTGCAAACAGAACTATCCATGTTCCCCACATCCTACCACAGATTCTTAATACCTGAACATTTATCTTTGGGGCGGCAATTTCAGACTCAACAAGGCATGTTGTAGAGTTAATAGATTTACTGATATGTATGTTATACTTTACACCCCTTCCAGATATTTAGAAGATATCAGAGTTACACTAAGAAAGAAACAGTTTCAGAATACATTATCGCTCACATTAAAAAAAAGGTTGCTAATGTGACTATAAGTAGAAATAGATATTTTCCAACAATAGGTTCAGTAGATTAGAATGTAATACAGGATTGAAATGTGATCTGAGTAAAAGAAGATTTTCTGCCTTTAGATAAAACCACAAATAGAAGTTTTTATATCCTCCGAAAAGATTGTTGGAAGACATTTTAGTAAAATTATTCACTGAAGTAAATGTGAACAAAGCAAGCAGCAGTGGATACAGATAAAAGTAACTTACAACAATCGATCACAAAATAAATTCTGGAACTTGTTCAGACACAAATAGTGACCCCACAGGCAGAGTTACACTGAAATTGCTCGGAACTGGTACAATACATATGGAAGAGTTTTAATAAGCCCCTGCAGAAATGTTTTGAAGTATCAAAAGATGCATTGTTGCAGCGAATGCAAGTTAAATCAGGAGAAAACATTTGAATAAATATAAACAAATTGTTTTCTTGTTATGGTGATGTCATTTACTGCATACACTGAAAAAAAGAAGTTGGCTTTAATAAACGAAAACCAAAAGATTGTACCATGTTGCTGTGTCTGGTGGGGCCATGTTAAACTACGCTTTATTCTGGTTTCCTCAGTAGAGCGAGGAGTGTCTCCATCTTGGCTGCTTCCACTTCTGGACCGTCTTTGCCCTACACACATACACACACGTGTGCGCACACACACACACACACACGCACACGTGTGCGCACACGCACACACACACACACACACACACACAGAAATCTGAAATTACTTGACCTTATGCTTGACCAGGCACTGAAAGGAACCACAAACACAGCAGGCACACAGTTAACAAGAGGCCAACACAACACAAGCAGACAGAAATTGAAATTGATGCAAGGTCAATAGTAGCAGAGTGTTTATATTACTCTATTATATAATAATTTATTTATACCTCATTGTGAAATTTGGTGTGAAGACATGGAGCTACTGCCTAAATAACACCGTTGTCAAGAACATATTTAAATAGATACGCCACAATTATGGTGTGAGCATATTCAATCCTCCTGTGTGTAGAAAAGCAGAACCTTTATAGTAGCTGTATAATATGGCTTAACATTAGCCATGCATTGCAGCAGCAGTTCACTGTTCAAAGATATTTAACAGCAATTGGTATCAAAGATCATTACTGTCGGTACAGGGTTGCTGCCACAAGCATACAACCAGGACTCTGGAACTAAAACTTCTGAATGCAAGGCAGTCTTTTTTCATGTTAATTGTGCTTTTCCTGCAAAGGTATCCCATCACATCTGCTGTAAATAAATCACACTTAGTCAAGCTATTTGATTGCATATAGTTGCATATATATATATATATATATATATATATATATATATGTGTGTGTGTGTGTGTGTGTGTGTGTGTGTGTATGTATATATATTAATATTAGGGATGCCCCAATAAAGTAATATAATCATTCAATCAGTCGTTTAAGTCACGCATCAGTCACCCTGATACCCGACACCATCACTAAAAAAAATAAACATGTCCAGCATTGCTGATTAGCTGTAGTACCTGGTTGCACCACTAGGCGAAGCCTCTCACTGTTTCATTCTGTCGTGACCACAGCAGGCGAGCCTTTCCATGTTGGCAAGCCGAAACCATTGTGGGAGTTTAAAGACATCATGACAGACTTGAACGAGGCTTATTGAAATCAGGCCAATGAACAAATGTTGAGATGGATAAATTAGGATAATAAAATTGCATCAAGTGTGGTGCTGATGCAGACAGTGCAGGTAACTAACAACAACACAGCACTGTTAATATTAATGCTAAATGTATATTATTGTACTGCATACATAAATTGTATATAAAAGAGGGACGTAGTCACCATGACATCACTCATTAATTTTTGGGCTATTGTTTTGAAGCCTTGAGTTTGGAATTTGTCCGTCACAAACTTTTTTTTTAAAACCGGATGTGGCTAGCGACGGGTGGATTTGACTGAGAACTTGAGCACTGCCATACAGCATTTTCTGCTTTATCATCTATTTTATTCTAAATCAGACAATAATTTACAAAATGAACTTCAAGCTGCATTAAAGGAGACTTCAAATTAACATATGAGACCATCAAGTCATGAGAAAAATATTTACTGACGTAACAAATCAAATGAGAAGTAGAGTGGTTTTCTCAGAAACTTCTATACAATCAGACTTCTTTTTCAGACAGGAGAAGTCACCCTCTGCTGGCCATTAGGTAGGCAGGTTTAAAACATTTCACTTCTCAAATCTGGAGGCTACGTCCCTCTTATACGTGCAGTCTATGACTGTATGTGATATAATCTTTTCATCATATTCATATGGAAAAGAGACATAGTGACTATGGAATATGCAAAAGGTGATTAACCCCTCAAAGCAGTGGGTGCTTGACTACATCTCCTTTATAGTTGGGAACATGTATTTTTGTATTTTATGGTAGTTACTTTGAAATTTAAAAGAGCTGATCCAAACAGACAACTGTGTTCTCTAAATGAATGAGCCCTGAGCAGATGCAACATAATATGTCTGCAATGATGAAGAGCGCCATAAAGCTTCAGTCGTAGTAAAGAGAGCGGCACACAAATTAGCATTAAAACCTACTGAAACTTTAAAATGTATCGAATTTATAATAATACACTGTCCCAGCATGCCACCCAGTGCTGATTCAGTTTTCTAGATTACTTATGGTCATTGCTACTCAGCTATATCACTAAAATTCTGGACTCGCTTTGTCTGTATAATGTCCTCTTTATATTACTAATACATAAACATTTCTTGCCATTGCAGGGAGGCCTAGAATTTTGTGTCTACTCATTTTCTGCCACCCTACACTGATACAAATATAAATGCTATTATGTAAGTTTCATTCTGTGAGGCAATATTTATAAATAGGCCATCATAAAATACTTCATAATGCTGCTTTTATATTGCAACTGCCACTTGTGTTTTGTGAGTAACTAAGAACAAAGCTGTTGAAAAGAGAACCGGTGAGATGAACACTAACACAAAATTGAACAGAATTGTGTTGTGTTGTGGGGTCATTTGATACTACCATACATCCATCCATTATCTGTACATCGCTTAATCCTCACTAGGGTCGCGGGGGGCGGGGGGGCTGGAGTCTATCCCAGCTGACTTAGGGTGAAGGCAGGGGACACCCTGGACAGGTCACCAGTCTGTCACAGGGCTACACTTAGAGACAGACAACCAAGCACACTCACATTCACACCTACGGACAATTTAGAATCACCAGTTAACCTCAGCATGTTTTTGGACTTTGTGGGAAGAAGCCGGAGAACCCGGAGAGAACCCACGCTGCACGGGGAGAACATGTAAACTCCACGCAGAAAGATCCCAGTGTCCTCGCTAGCATACATGTAAAGGAATAAAAATTTTAAAAAATGTGTATGTCTAAAGTTCCCAATTATGTACATCTTCTGGTGCTATACATTTTATTTCAGTAGTGACACTCTTTCACACCAGAATCCACTTGAGTCAACTTGAACAGTGACACTTGAGCACACACATGAGCACAGCACATCAACTTTTCAATGGCTGTTTACCTGTTGTGACATTTATCCAGTATGGATGGCACTTAGTGTCTTTTATAACAGATTGTTTTGTTTTCTGACACTAATAGTTCATTTCAGAAGCTCAAAACAATGAATTAAAAACTCTGAAGAAAACTACAGTACAAGAGAGGCGAAGACACAAGAGTATTAAAGTCAAGAAGATGGATTGCCTTGAGAGCATTTTTGAATTCTCCTCAAATAGATGAGCTCAACACATTTGCATAGTTACAGTTTGGATTGTGAGGCCACTGCACTGTTATTTTTGGGAAAGTTACAAGTTTACATACATTTGTAAAGACTATGCATATCCAGGCAGTCTTGAGTTTCCAATAATTCCTATGCATGCTAGCTCCTAAGTCTATTATAGGTGTTCTAGAAATATGACAAAAATCTACTAGGTTAATATATATAGAAAGCAACTTGAACTATCAGTTTTGCTTATGTAGAAATCTGGGTTAATCAAATTCACTTAATTACACGTTGGCTACAGCTGCTGACTTCTCTGACCCAATTTAAATAGGGTCTATTTGATACATCCAGCCACAAACACTGTAATGGGAAAGTCTCTGAAGCTCTGCATTGATCTGCAATAGCAAATTATTGACTTGACTAAGTCAGGAAATCAGTTGGAGCTATTTTAAAGCAGCTACAGATGCCAAAATCATTAGTGCAAACAATTGTTTGTAAGCATAAAGTGCATGGCGCAGTTGTGTCACTGCCACAATCCGGAAGAAACACAAGCTATCACCAGCTGCTGAGAGTAAATTAGTCAGGATGGTCAAGAATCAACCAAGAATCACCCAAAAGCAGCTCTGCCATGAATTAGAAGCTGCTGAAACACAGGTGTCAGTGTCCACAGTAAAGAGTGTTTTACATGAAGGCTGAAGTTTGCTGCTGATCCCATGGAAAAAGAAAAGGCCTTCTGGAGGAAAGCTCTGTGGTCAGATGAAACAAAAATCTAGCTATTTGGTCACAATGACTAGAAATATGTGCAGAGGAGTGAAGGTGAGGCCCTTAACACCAAGAACATCATACCTACTGTCAAGCATGGTGATGGTAGTATTATGCTCTGAGGCTGTGTTGCTCCCAGTGGAACTGGTGCTTTGCACAAAGTAAACGCAATAATGAAGAAGGAGGGTGAACTACACACTCTTCAGAAAAAAAAACTAAAATCATCAGAAAGAAGGTTGGGTCTTGAACGCACAGTTGGGTGTTCCAACAAGACAATCATTCAAGACACTGCTAAGATTTGACATTGTTAAAGCAGGCTAGATTTAAGGTTTTAGAGCCACATTCTCAAAATTCTGACACAAGCCCCATCAAGACCCTGTGAACTGTGCCGAAGAAACAAGTCTGTGTCAGAAAGCCAACAAGTTTAGCTGAACTGCACCAATAAGGAGTGGAGTGGTCAAAGATACAACCAGAACCTCGTAGACGGCTACCAAAAACGCCTCATTGAGGGGAAAATGGCCAGGATACATTTAACCAAATATTAGCATTGATGTATGTATATTTTTGACCCAGCAGATTCTGTCATATTTTCAGAAGACCTATAACAAATTTATGAAAGAACCAAAATGCCTGATTGCTTTTTGTGACAAAGGCGCATGTGTTTCAATCACTGCATTATAGAAAAAACAGTTGTAAGAGTCAGTGGGAACTCAAGACTGCCATGAGACAGACCATCTTTACAAGTTTATGTAAACCTTTGTTCACAACTTTATATCAGTCGGCCACCATTGTCACTGTGCTAGTTTTAGTAGGCTGGTGTGCCAATTTTATAAGACATATTACTGAAAATATTTGCTGTGGGTGTTTGCGCCTGACGCTTATTTGCCACATTGGGTTCTAAAATGCTCTGAGCACTGTCAGTGGTGCTGAACTGAGCAATTATTTCCCAATTGTATGCTTTAGGGCTACAGTCTGAGGTCCCTAATGAGGTAGTAGTGTGTGTTTGTGTGCGTGTGTGTGTCTGTGTGTGTATTGTTATGCTACAACAAAACTGTTTATGTGCATTGCATCCAGGCGTGGCAATACCATGTATAATGTAGCGAGTTGTGAAAATAAATGCATATTACTGTAGTCATTAAAAATTTTTTTCTAGCTTACATGCACACCACAAAGGAAGACCGGAGAGACCACAGAGCTGACTCTAAATGGACCCTGATTAAAGTGTTGTGACTCAGTGTGCCATTTAGTTTCCTCCTGTGATTAGAAAGACTGCTGTGATTACTCCACAGCTCATTAACTATTGTCATCAGTGGCAACGGAGCATTCAGCGACTTATCAACTGCGTGTGGACTAAAGTGGAATTTTGTTTTATTGTATAGCTACAACCTGCTTTGAATATATAATTTTCTGTGGCCTTTATTCACTTTTTAAATTTTTTACGATATCTTTTTTTGACTAGTTTGACAGTATGAGCGACAGTTAATATGAAGAGTATATTTTTTAGGGATAAATTCAAGAAACTTTTTCAAAAAATAATTTTTGCTCAGCTTCTTTGTCTATTGATAACTTCTAAGAAGCTTATTGAATTATAAAGAATACTCCATCCTGTGGCGAATTTTTTACCGACATAAATGAGCATGAAAAAATAAATACAGCTGATTAGTGATGTTAATGGGAGGGTGGGGGGTGAGTGGACTCGTTATTTAGTGAAATTAGCTTAAGGTCAGGACTCCACAATGAATGAATCATCTGAGCTGCTTTCATTGATGTGGAACAAGTGGGAGTCATGAATAATGCAGAAGTGGAGGCATGCATCCAGATTGTTTACAGATAAGATGGTATATAGGGTGAAAGGAAAAAAATTGGCTATACAAGAGCAATGGCAACACTTGGAGAACACATATATATATTCTCCATAGCGCTGAAACTAGCAGAAGAACTAGAAATTCCATTTGCATGTGTCAATAGCATCTGTGTACGTTTGTCTCGATTGATTTTATAGTCTGAAACTAACTAACTAACTAAATAAATACATGCAGCTTTTTAAATGATCAATGCTTGTAACAATGTTTTAAAAACAGAAATAGAGTAATTATCCTGAATTTTGTATTGTTTCCCTAATACGAATTTCTGTACAATAATGTAAATATTAAAAAGAATCCAATTTCCATCACTACAAAATGCAAAATTGGGTCGATTTTAAATTCTCTTTGTAATCAAATGGTAAACTGGCATTCAGTGGCTTTGACCTTGCAGTGAAAAATCTGGAAGCACCTGACAGTTGGGTTCCAAGAATGCTTCATTTGCACCCTGTGCCCTACCAACTGTGTTGTAGACGTGGCTCTAAACTGCTTACCCTATTTATAATTTTTGCCAATTTATTTGTCAATTTTTATTAACAATGATATATTTAATTTAATTAACAATAATTTAGTTTACTAGTGGTAAAAAAGTAAGATGCATTATACCTGATTTACTTATTCTATGGATCTTTTGTTTCAGCAGATGTAGATTTAAGTAATTATGATCACAGTGCAATTAGGCTATTGTATGCAACAATTAGCTGTCAATAGGATCTGTCTACATGTGAGTGTGGCCCATAAAGACTATCTTAGCACCACAGTACAATGAACAGTGTGTGAGTTAGGGCCGTGGGCTGTTACGCTCCTTTTCCTTTTTGATAAAATTAGTACAAGCTACATCTGTCAAACTTGGCCAAACTGTCACCCTGCCTGAGTGTGACTGAGCAGCTCGCCTGTTTGTCTCTTGTTTGTGTGTTTTCTGGCACTCAGGTAGGTTGTGACTGTTTTATTAAGAAACTTGTTTTATTAAAGGCTTAAGACACTAATTTGTCACTTGAGACTTGGCCAGGTTGTAGGGTTTTGTTAGTGCTGGCACTGCGACAAGCACATTTCGTTAAAGTGCACTTCAAGTATAATGTATATGTTTAGTAATCAGGTCTATAAGTGCTACTCCTGCCTGATTAGCAAGCGCAGTTAAGGCAGAGCAGGATTTACTTTTGAGTTTTTTTGTTGTTAATATAGGTCAGGTATACAAATTTTAAATGTCTACGTTTTGTTTATAATTTATTTTATCTAACTGCCCTCCGTTCATCCTTTTGTGTGCTGCGCTGGTTTATGTTGGTACACAAAAACCTTCCACTACATTCAACTTTGGTATGATTGCATCCATCTGCCTGACTGTATGTTAATTCCCTTTCCCATAGTGAACTGGGTTCACTAAGGCCTAGCCTTTGTTTTCTCCAAACAGAAGCAGTCACTTAAGAGTATACTCCCTCTTGTGGCATAAGGGGGCAATAATCCATGGCTTTACAACTACTATGTCTGACTACAGGAAACTACAGCACAATGAATATTTTATTAACTACGCCACAATATAGATAAATACACATTTTAGTAAATGGGATAGTGCAACTGCTGAGCATTAACTCTGTATTTCCCTATGCCATGGTGCTATAATGACATAAATAAACAATATAGAGTGACATTTATAATATTTAGTGAACATTTCCAAAAGCCTATGTTAAATGTAGACTGGTGTAACAGGTTTTAATCCAACTGGATTTTTTTTTGTCCTGAGGCAATAATTATTGTTAGCAGCTCTTCTACCAAATAATCAATAATGGACTGTGCATTGTGAGACCTTTTCCACACTTCTATTATTGGAAAAGTGGGGAAAAAACCCTCTCCTTTGGAATTCCAAACCAACTACACGCCGTCATCAACTTGCAAAATGGATAGGCAGAGACTGTAATATGCGCTATTGTGTCATATATCAAATCAAATCAAGTTTATTGTCAGCTTGCTGTATGTACAATAGTAGTATAAACAAGATGAGAGAGCGTTTCTTCAGGATCCCAAAACTAAAAGCAATTAAATAAATAAGTGTTTGCATATCCGGATCAGCAGTTCAGCATTCTGACAGCTTGTGGAATGAAGGTGTTGAAGCTGTTGATCAGTCTGGAGGTTCTTCTTTCAGTGCTCTGGAAACGTTTACCTGATGGCAGTAGTTCCAACAGTTTATGGAGAAGGTTTGGGGAGTCCCTGACAATGTGATTTAGTGAAATCAATGTTTGGGTTCACAAATCATAAGTGTCTTAAGCCTTTAATAAAACATGTTTCGTAATAAAACAGTCACGACCTATCTGAGTGCCAGAAAACACACAAACAAGAGACAAACAGGCGAGCTGCTCAGTCACACTCAGGCAGGGTGACAGTTTGGCCGAGTTTGACAGATGTAGCTTGTACTAATTTTACCAAAAAGGAAAAGGAGTGAAACAGCCCACGGCCCTAACTCCCATATGGCATTGATTATTCTTTCAGCCATAAGAAAAGGCTACTCCTCCTTCAGTACTACATTCTATTCTATGTGCGATCCTTTTGCAGCTGATTCATGTCGGATTCGGTAAAGTTTAGACATGGACATAGATTGGCTATTAAATTGGATAAAACAGTCAGGAGTTTACCCTGCATATTGTAACACCCATTTTGAGCAGGCCATTCTATTGCATATACTGTATAGCTTAAAGCCTAAATTTTTAGTAAAAATAAAAAAACTGAATTTGGAGCATTTGTTATAAATTCTATTTTGCTTGAGGGAATGTTTTGATATCCATTTGTTTTTTTTAACTGAGCAACTTTTCTTTTTTTTTTTTGGAATATGTTTTAGATTTCCCTTTTTTCGATTTCGATTTCAGAAAGAAAATCGATCGCTGAGAAATGCTTCTGTGGCGGCTTGTTAAGATTCTTACCTTGGGCTTCAGGCGGAGGTTAGGAGAGAGTTTGAAGCTATTGACATTGCCTCTGTCATCTCCCACTATGATGATAGGATGGGTGGGATTAAACTCAATGTGAGTCAGCTTGGTCTTCTTTTTGTCCACCACTAGCTGCTGGCAGAGAGCCTCATATTTGTTGATGTTGAGGTCAAAAACATGAACCTGAAAAGAAGAGTCATCATACCAGTTAATGTGTTTATCTTTTTTTTTCTTCTCATTTTTAACAGTTTCGACCTTGTTACCGAACTGACATTTCACACAACAGCAATGGGCGACAGTGTGAATAAAAATAAGATTTAGAAAACAAAAACAGAAAACTGACCACTGTATTTGATTTCGATGATACATTTTCAGATTTTATTCCCAGTTTTTTCCCTGTTAGTAAGTACGTAAGGGCTAAATGGGTTGTTACAGACTCCCTTTTCATGTGTGTGTTGTGTTTTATGTGAAAAGTAGAACGGAGGAGGAGAGGTTGGTCTGACCATCTGCTCAAATGAAGGGTGTTCCTGCCACTTCAGTGAGTGTGCGCTACATGTTTGTCCAAGATGCCATTGATGATTTCATAGGCATCTTTATCAAAAAGGAACCAGATCACAGATATTTTTAGTCTAAATGCATTTAGACAATCTGTCCACAACAAATGAGCCCACTGCAAAGCACAGCCCACGGCTTTTATCAGAAAGATGGCATAGTCTATGTGTATCAGCACCACACAAAGCATCGCAGTCATTATTTGTAACCAATCATCACACTCTACCTGGGTATGACTTTCTGTAACCTCTTATCACTACAGCCATTAACTACAGTGTTTTTGCTGTTCATGTACTGTATAAGCACTAAAGTAACATGAGTCATTGCTGATTGCAGTGGACACCGGCTGCATCTGTAATCCATGCAAGAACTTCAAGCGGAGAGAAAATTAACTGTTATGCTGCTTATAAAAATAGCACAACAGCAAATGTACTAAACATATATTAGGATGAATGCACAGCTACACATTAGATGAGACTTTGTATACTTTTATGTTTTAAGGTAATGTGTTTGAAACTGGGAAGGGATTCATCAAATATTGTGATTAAGACGACTCCCAACAAGCCCAGTTTAAATTACATTGACAGTTACAAGACAATGTATTCTCACACCATCCCAAAATTATTAAAAGCTGATGAAAGTAGTTTTTATTGCTTTGGGTGGCTATTGTTAAAGTATTAATATCTAAATATAATACAAAGGGTATTCTAAATGAGACATGTGGCAGTCCATGTTCCAAAGGGTAAATAAAGCTGCACAGAGACCAAATATGAATTGAAAGACTACTAATAATTTGGGGGTAAGCCTTGACTTTTGATTATTTCATTCTGACACTTTATTTCCTCAACCGTCAGCTCAGATGGAGCGGAATGGACAGAGGGAACAAAGAGATGTTTGTTTGCACGACACAACTCTGTGTCATTCTTTCACCTCGGCCTGCCAAGCAATTCATTATCCCCAAGAACACATGTACACAAGCACGTACGAAGACGCACACTCACACAAACACGTACGCCGTTGTGTCCCTGACATTTTGCAGTGTAGCAGGAGCAGCAGCAGGCCAGATTGTCATCAACAGTACATATATGTGTCAAGGAGCACACAACTCATGGTGAATCACTCAAGCTCGATCAGACACATGTCACACAGAAAACGGCAATTGTACTACAGGGACACGGTTATCGTGGTTAAGATGATGCTGTTTAACATCATGCACTGAGAACATATCAGGGGAATGTGAAAATGCTGTCGATATTCTGTCATTCTTCAAAATCTGACAGCTACCAAGTGTCGATAAGAGTTCTTGAACTCAGTGTAAAAAATAATATTTAGTGGGCACATTAAAGTCCCTGTCAGGTTTACAGGTAACATTTACCTCAAAAATTGTGATTACAATATATACAAGTATACTAACACCAATCAGCAACAATGTTAAAACCACTGACAGGTAAAGTTTAAGACACTGATCATCTTGGCAATGCAATGTTCCTTACTGGGAAACCTTGGGTACTGGCATTCATGTGGATGCTACTTTGACATGTACGACATCTTCCAAAAGGACAAAAACTGCTCAAGAATGGCTCCAGGAACATGACAAAGAGGATTTATACACAATACTAGGCAGATGGTTTTAACATTGTCGCTGACCGTTGTATATACATACATCCAATAATCAAAGCAAAGTGTATCCCTAAAATCAGAGTCTGAGTCATGTATTTTGTGAGCTCAGTACAGTGAGAAAAAGCAGACCAGGCACACTGAGCTTGATCAAATCCCGTTTTAAAATCTTATCCCTCTTTCCACTTTGAAAGGATGTGATTGTGCTTGTTAGATGTGTGCCAACTGACAAACTTTTAATGAGTTTTTTTAATAGCCGCTGAAAATTCCTTTTGCTCTAGTTTCAGAGAATAAATTACTGTGCACATGGGACTTCATATGCTTTCTAGAAAAATCATTTGATTTAATTCTTTTTGGTAGAATATATTTACAGTTAAACTGTTGTTATTTTTTGTATGTACTGCTAGTTGTAACTTGTACACTACAAAAGGGACATCAGATTTAATGTTTTGAATTTGTTGGAAAGTCTGATATTTCCTCACTTGTATGTCTTATCAAGACGGATGCATAGTTGTGAAATATTTTGCATAACGATCGTTGGTATACTACAGTGCCTTTTGTGCCTGTGGTTCTCCTGGCACCGAAGAGGGCGTGACACACATACACACACTATCACATAAGGTGTCTCTCAAATTGCTCAGCTCTCATTTCCTCTCTGCCACTCTCACTCGACTTCCCTTGGCACACTGGACAGGAAATGTGTCAGACACAACACTCTGGACTTTTATAGTGTGGAGCAGACTGTGAAGACAAACAGATGGGGACAGCTTGCAGCCATACTAAGAAAATATGTGGAGATAAGCAACACAGCATCCACTGAAATTACTTTGGCTGGAATCAATAACTACTGGCAGAGCAGGAAGCCCCCTTTGTTACAAGACACAGTGTTTGAACAAACTTGATTGCTTGAGGCTATTCAGCATTAATCTGAGGCTTAGCCTGAGACCATGGTGGAGGGTTTAGCCAGCTGAGTCTGTAACTATATTATAAAGATAATAATAAAGTGGGTGGCAGGTGGTAGACGGTGCAGCTGTTTGTTTTTTTCACATGTTCAGTCGAGGAAGTGTCAGACTCATGTTATCTTAGGCACACAGCAGATTTGTGTTGGCTGTAACCATAGCTTTTAGACAAAAAGCATCTATATGCCTACATATATGTCTAAGACTGGCTGTATAGTCAGAGTCATTAAAATAACATTTCATGTCATTGTATTTTTGATCAGATGTCTTAAAACAGAGCATTCGTCATGCATCCCTTTAGTTAGTCCTAGTTAAAGGGGAAAACAACAAGGTACGTACACACATTTCTCATTTATTAGCTCCAGTCCTGCCACATATCCAGCCTTTATGAACGTTATAATGTTAAGTTTAGTTGAAATTGTATAGAATGGTGTTGATCGCTATGCATTGTCATTTCCGATGCAGCAGTTTGGAGCGCTGTTGTACTAATTATACCAACAGGTGTTTCTATCATTTTGACACACTAATTGTGTCAATAATATTGCTCAGCTTGTTTCTATCTCATGTAGATGCAGGAAAATCTGCTTCTTTACTTACTATAAATATAAAACACCTAAATTTGCATGTAATGATGTGTATTCTTAATAAATCTAAACATATTTCACACACTAAACCTTGAAACAGAGTATTCTGAGGGCCACAAAAAAAACAACTACAAAAACATTTTTGAGATGCTGTGGCTGCAAATTGTAAGAGAGACTTTACAAAGACTCACATTTCCATCTGTGGTCACAGCAGCAAATACAGTAGAGGAGTATGGAGCCCAGGCTACGTCTCCAACTGGTTCTTTCAGGTCAAAGGTCAGCACTGGAGTGCTGAAAAAACACACAAACATACAAATCAGACAGGACAACACACACAGAAAACATGTTACTTTTTATTATACTGCATGAAAAGGGAGGACTCTATGAATGGTTACTCATCAGAGTCACAGAAAGAACCAGTATAACTGAGACTGTCTGCGAAATCTGTCTTAAGCGTTTGTCTATTTTTGGGTCTGAAACAGTGCTTTATTTCTGTGATGTACACATTTGTACATGTGTGACTTCTTCCTACAAGTTTTAAATGGTGGATAAACATCTTTGGACTATCAGTCATGGTAATCACTAACAAAATGTCCAGACACCAATGCCTCATCAGAGCCTGGCCAAACATCTGGAGATTCAACAAAAGGTTCCAGCACGTTGTTACCTGACATTAAATATTTTTGAAACACCACTGGAAGCAACATGAAGAAATTAAACATTTCTAAGCGGTGGAAGTGGGTACCTACAGGCTACCTTCAAATATTAAAGTGAGAGTGCATGTGTGTGTGAGAGTGACAGAAACAGAGTAACCAACGCTGTCAATAGGTTGGATCTTTACATGTACAGATTTACTTGTACATTTACAAAGTCAGGAACTAACGACATAATCAAAACCTGAGACAGTTTTTTTTTTTACACGCATTCTGCAAGTAAGCAAACTCAAAAATCTCAAAATTCAGCATGTCTACACATCAGCAAGCTAAAAAGAAATAAATCAAAATTTGCTGATAATTTAAGCTTCTAGTAAATGTCAGATAGGGGCACACACACCTTAATGCTACACCCCCTCTTTTGTTCAAATCTCAGATGCTTTTACATTTGAACAATTGTAAATGAGGTTTGTGGGTGAGTAATTAAGTGTAAGTGGAGTTTATATTTTGTCTTACATATCCATCCTAACTTCCTCTCTCAAACACAGTATACTGATAAACATTCTTAAATTTGGAAATGAGATGGAGTATTATCTGTGAATAACCCTGACAAATTACATGAACCTTAGTAAACAAACCAGAATGCACAATTAGCTGCACTCTGTGATTATCATTTGCACCAGTCTCCAGGTAATTTGGTGCAAGATATGCCTTAGATGACAAACTACGTTCAAATGCTGCTGTGCCTGTTTTATAAATAAAATGCACACAGGTAGGTGTAGAATATGTCTAATTATTAAAACAAACTATTGTAAGAGATATTTTTTCACAGCAGAATGTCCCTGCACGTACTGTAAATCCAGAGTCAGGGCTATTAGGGTTCTTTAATTATGTACAATTTTATTACGAGACTTGGTGCACATCTTTCAAACCTTTTAAATAACAGACTTGATGCACTTCTCCTTTGTTACTTCAAATCCCTTCAGTTCATTCAGGGTTGCCTAATGTCATATGAGATTTTTACAGGATGTTTTAGTCTCAGCAACATGGAAAAAGCGCTTTTACATTTTCAAACATTATGGCGAGTTTGAGAAAACTTGCATGATCCATGATGTTTTCTCCTGCAGACAATATGTCATCTTTAGGATGTTATAGATCATACCCTGTCTCTCATAATGAGTGGATGATTACTATCATTATTCAGTCAAGCTGCCTCTGCTGACAAGGAAGTGGGAGGCACAGTGGGTTAGTCAAATAAGCCTGGAAAATTATTGCGGGGTCCTTGACGAGTATAAGGTAATAAAGACTAATATGCTGCAATATTAAAGATTACAGGAGTGATGATTACCTTGTTCCTACTTCACTGAACGTACATACATATTTGAACACAGAGCATTAGTAGTGTTGCTAATGGTGATGATATAAATTCAGCAGGAAATTGCAGTTGCTATTCTGTAACTAACGGCAACATTTGCTTCTCATTCGAGGTAAACTAAAAATGTGTCTTACATCTTCTTCCATTAGAATATGTAACAAGAACAAAGTGAATAAGAATATAACAACATTACACTGAAGGGTGCCGGATATTTGAAAATGACCAACTAGCCGATTGACTCAGATCCCCTTTATTTTATACAATAAATTTTAAAGATATAGCTATAGATCTTGTATGATACCAACGCACAAGAAGTCATACGAGATGTCAAGCTACTTCTTTTTACCCAACACTGAGTATCACAGGGAGACTTCAACACTATTTCACGTTGTTCCCAGGAGATTTCACCCTCCCTGGCAAATGCAACCCAGCCAACCAGTAGGAGTCAACAAGTACAACTGTGTTTAATAGGACAGCCAGTCAAGCCAGCAGGGACAGAGATGGAAACTTATTCACTGTGATGGTGGGTGAGCGTAACACATACTGCTAGATGTTTCACAGACATGCGTTTGTACTTCTTGATATATAAATATGGCAACATAAATATTATTGTAAACCTAAAACTGCACAGAAACGTAAATGGCAACTGATGATGAAAAACTAAATAATGCTGTAGATTTGACTAAATCACAGTTTTCCTAAAAAAACACAAACTGAATTTTAAAAAAAGTAAAAAATTATGCTCTTTTTACAGCTGACGCAAGTATTCCATCTTTCACTCTTTTTTACTTGACTCTTACTTGATGGTATAGTCCCAGATCTTGATGGTCCAGTCTGAACTGCATGAGATGAAAACCTTTGGATGAAAGTAGTTCCACTTTACAGTATCCACTGTCATGTGGTGGGCTTCATAGGTCTCCAGGATCTTGCTCGAGTAAGTCTTGCACTAAGGAATATAGACAAAGTCTTGATTTTGACCAAGTAGGTGGTATAAGCAGGAATTCAGTCAGTGTCTGCGAGTAGCACCTTAAGAAAACAAGGTTTGAAACAACTACTGTATTGGAGTGTTGTAATGTCCTGGAACAATCAAAAACAACGAATCATTTTATCACTGGAACAAAGCACTTTTTTTTTAACCATCATATAAACTAGCGGACAATAAGGTACATATCAGGCAATAAATAGTATAGTATAGAATAAAATAGAATAGAATAGAATAGAATAGAATAGAATAGAATAGAATAGAATAGAATAGAATAGAACTTTATTGATCCCTTTGGTGCAAACCTCAGGGAAACTGTTGAATGATTTGCATCTGGCCACCAAGTAATTTTTTTAGCAGGTACAGGTTGTTTCTAAAATCACCCTGTTCACTCACTCACTCCTTACACAGTGAACATGCAATAGCTTACTCAGTGGGAAGCAGCAAACTGAGATTTTGGACACTTACCACCATCATTTTGTACTCAGTTGCGCAACAGTAATTTTGTTATCTTTAAAAAATGGAGCCTATGCATTGTAGAACTGTTAGTAGAAAGTAGTATACATGCTATGGACTGTTTTCACAGACTGAGCAGTAGTCTTCAAAGAAAGAACATGAACATATGTTCTTTAGAATGGCTTTTTTTGGGTAATTTTTATTCACAACTGATAAAGAATTCTGATAGTAGTGATACTAGATGTGTGCTATGCTTGACAGTTTTAACCCGAAGAAAGTATTGCACTCCACTGTGGTTCAATGTAGAATTACCCTTTAAATTTCCATAGTCTCTTTGCCATTGACAGAATAGGGTTTACAAAAGCACCAAAACAGCAGCAGAGGTAGACAGCAGGGATAAATTAACTAGACAATCGGGGATAAAAACGGCTTTATAGGTTGTGGGGACAGCTGTTGAATTTCAGAGCAGAGACAGTTTGATTGTTGACCTGCAGCTAAGTGAAAGATTCTTAATCTCTCCTCTCCCAGGGTTTCTATGACACTGAACCTTGAGGTGACAGACAGAACATATTTTATCACACATACCGAGTGGGTGTTTGTCAGCAGGTCTGCAAGCAGACGTAGGTGAGTAAGCTGATTTAACAGGATTGCCGCAAAGGTGTGAGTCCTAACTCTACTGGTACAACAACAAGCTAACAAACATTTTCCAAAAGGGTCTGGTTTCAAAACAAAGCTGCACTAAGGGAGATAAGGATTACCAAAAGGCGTGTATCAGATTTTCTAGGTCAAGAATCCTAGGGTAGAAATCAAATCTTTGAGGCCCACTCATATACTGTACAGAATATTTATATTGCTTTCGATAGTAGAATATATTAAAAGAGTAAATGTAGTTAACAAGTTGCCACATCCAGTTCCCAGCTCCAATAACTACTGTTTCAGCACCACGGTACGCCATATTAATCATGATTATTTTATCTTTTTAGGCAAAGCAAACTGTCACCAACTACAATCGTACAGGTCATTTATATGATTTAACCTACTTTTGGATGACAGTGAAGTACTTTATTACTGGAACTCAGGCTATTTTGAACCGGAGCAGCCCCGATGACATATTCTAGCAGATTAAATCAGTTGTTGCTTGAACTTCTTTATTATTGGGTCTTCACAGTAAATGTTGATTAATAATAAATAAATACTAACTTTACGACATATTCTACTAAACAGCATAGGCGTTAGCCTGTGTGTGTTTACACTGACACATTTGTGTGTGTTTATATATGCTACATTTATAGCAGCCTATTATAGCCTTTATAGCAGGAATTAACCTCAACCCCATAATCTCACTGACACTATACGCATTCCCTCAAGAACTATGTTTGTTTTTGTAAATTTCAGTCAGTTTTAAAAGTGTGTGCATTAGTCACTGAGCTCTTTAAACACTTCTGTTATCAAATCAATAGAACTTTAAACACAATACACTAAATGAGTTTCCTAAAGAAGAGAAGCAGGAGGAGTGGGCAGTCAAAAACTAGCAGCTGCTTAAGGAGACTCATTAGGTGCTTAATGTCAAGCCTAAGGGGCTCCCAGTGGGCGATGTGGACACTCACAAGTGCACATATGGAAAATCACACACACACACACACACACACACACACACACACACACACACACACACACACACACACACACACACACACACACA